GATGAGGCATATATGTTTTTATTGTCTAAGATGAGGGATATATAATTTCCGCTTTGTATCATCGTTTCCAATTTTATTTCAAATACTATTATAAATACTACAAATACACAATTAAGAAACGCCTAGTCAGCTTGTTGCAGCCCGCACATAACATAAAATATTATTCTCATCTTAATTTTATGATCCTACTCTTCCAGGCTAGTTCAAAGCATGTTGACAAGAGCGTTTGATGATTTTTCTGTAATAGGTTGCCAATTATTTCTTCGCTAGACTGGTTGACAAACAAGGCTATAGAACTTAGAAATTAGTGTGTCCTTCTATTCAAACAATAACTGGAGAGAGAAGAGGTGGATAAGTGAATATAACGAAATTGACTGGAATTCGAACTCACCTTCCATATTTCGTATTTCGAGCCGTTATCCATTACACCACCCCCACATCCTAACACAATGTTTTAAGTTAGATTCTGAAATAAGTTGATTTAAAATTAACAGAGAGGACCTATTAATAATTAGGAATGAGTAACACATCTTTTTGCAACAATTATAATAATTAAGAACAAAATGAAAATGTTTATAATAAAATCGGATATTATTTTCCGAACGATAATCAAAAGATCACGTGACATTGACATTCTGCGAGATCATAAGATTAAGCATCTACACGCAAATTGAGTTCATGCCTGTCACCTACACTCTTGTGTAAATTAATTGAAACAAAACGAATAATTCCGTTATTATTCACTGTTTTTTCATATTTTCCAAATGAAACATGGCCCAGTGCACATGTTAGTATTTCGTATGTCCATTCCACAAATTCGTCCCTTGCAGACTGACCACAGATTCTCGATTGCATTTAAAGCAGAAGAATTTCCGAAGCAGTCGATAGTACTTTTATTTGCTCACAGTTAGGGCTTGCTGGTATGTTCGTGCAGCGTTACAATTTTCGTACGCTTCCTTGGAGTAACGTTCATTGAAGGCAATTGCCGTAGGACAACTAATCGACAGTCGAGACAATAGTGTCTGGGCGTGATGAAAATCTGAGGCAATCAGGGATTACGCAATATTTTTCAAGGCCAACCAAATTTCATCATACAGCCTAAAAATAGTTTCATATTACTGCACACCATTGCAAATGACCTAATCTGAGAAAAACAAAGAAACGGATTACAGCTTGTCACTGTAGTGGGTCTAAAATTGACTGTATGGTGAAATAAAAGAAACTAAAGCCGTTGTTTCAATTAATATGCACAAGGGTGTATGGTTTTTGAACATTATTAGAATTTTATGTGACTTATGTTTGCAAGACTTGGTCGGTCATGAATCTCCACGGATCCCGATACCCTGTTGCTCTAAGAAATGTTTGATACTTGACTGTACCTTGTTCTTCACGTTCTGCTATTCATTTATACACACATGTTAGGTTTATAATTCATTGTATTTTTAACATTCGCTGAGAATCTCATGGACTTAGAACTATCGCCACAGGTCTTTTCTTCATTTCTGACGAAATTGTCCAGCATTCACTACCATTTATCAAAATTGATATTACATAGCAGTTTGGCACTCTTATACATGATTCCAACAAAATTTTCCTATTTCTTAATTATTGTGCTTAATTTCTTGAAGGCATGTTTCATTATTCCAAATCGTTTTCAGATTTCTGTGTTTGATTTACAAATGTCATTTATAACAATCTACAATTAAATTTTCCTGATGCCTGTTGGTAGAGCACATGCAGCGCTGGCCTTCCTGCTAATAAGCATATATTCCGCCTTCTACAATTGATAATTGGCCATTTCTGCTTGCTTTCCTTTGTCTACAAGTATTTATAGTTTCTGTATCTGTCAACAATATAGAGCAATTTGCATATGTTGTTAAGAGTGTACAATCTATAGGTAATTTAACTTGTAGTAAACAAGTATTGAATAAATGTTAATAAACATCAGTTGTTAAAGAAAATCAAAAGAGTTCGAACAGCCACAAAAGGTTCTATGGCTGAGTATCTTACGTCAGGGGTCGGCAACCTTAAAGTTGCTATCATAAAATTCATGTCAACCCCACAAATCCAATATTTGAAAACAATTATTTTGATCCGATTTTCATTTTATTTCGCCACCTATTTTGTAAGCTTTATTTTTTTTTATTATTATCAATCTAAACTTCATCTTTGAAAGCCAAGGTCTCCTTTTTAAAATTCTGACACTTATTTTTATTTTCACACAAGTATTGCCTGATAGTTTACATTGTACATCAAGTGTAAAAAAAAAAAATCCTAAATAGTCCAGCACCCTTCTCAGTATGTTGATGGCGGCTGAACTTGACTCTTATTTCCAGAATTTTCTGTTCTTTTCCCTGTATTTTTTTTATCGTTCCTAGTGCTCGATTAACCATTATTACTACCGTTACCTTCACACTCCATAATTGCTTTAGATATTTGGTGGAGTTCAGATACTTGACCAGAAATTATTTTTTAAAATTTCAATCTGTGTTCTACCAGAACAGAGAAATCAATTATTCAATATTATCTTTTTTTAGGATCAAACATAATTATATTTTCTATTTTCATCTGGAATTAGTGATCCACCTGCAACAAGATGCTTCTGACTAATTCTTTTAATTTCTGTCTATATTTCTGAGATGAGGTAATATGTACATTATTCGGACTATTGTCCGATATCTTTGTTGCTATATTTATTAAAACGTTTCGGCCGTTGTACGCTCCGGCCTTCTTCAGGTCGAACTAAACCCTTTATTTCGCTCACTGTTCTAGTTCCCCGTGCTATGTTTAAGGGATGTCAGTTATCAGTTATCTCCAAGTTCTCCAGTGCCTTAAGCGGTTATTGAACTCACACTCTTTGGGTCCTGTCATTGGATCTAACTAACGCCTTTATCCACTGTTCCATGTGTCCTTGAGGACATCTGTGTAAGAATTTCTGGCTATTATAAACCTGATGTCATCAGCAACCATTTTTTACCAGTGCTCATATTGCAATTTTTGCTGTTATCATTGCATGTTTTTACCAGAGTTCATATTGCAATTTTTGTTGTTAATATCGCCTTTCTCTGGCTCTCCTTGTTACTGCTTTAGTTTCTAATATTCTTCTGTCCTGCCAAGGTATTCATTATCAATTTCCTTGCATTTGTTTTTTTTTTAATGTATCCATTGATTGAATGATTTATTTTTTACGGCTTATCAACCCATTGCTGGTTATTTAAGCCAGGATATATGTTTTAGATAGTAAGAAATTGTTTGAGATAATAACGATTTAGTGATAGAAGTCTTACTATTTAACCCATAGCTGGAGGGAGAAGTGGATTCATGCCTTTCCCAATGGCATTTGCGCGTAAGTGAATATAACCAACCCAACAGAAATTGAAACTTGGCTCACCGATAAACAATTCCAAGCCATTATCATTTACACGGCGCTCACATCCAAGCTTATAGAACCTGGTATTCCCAAGCGGACACCCATATAGGTATTGACCACGCAACTGGTCTATCGCAGAAAGAAATGGCAACCTACTGCGGGAAAAAATCTGTCTCGTCAGTCATTTATCGAAAGATACATGATCGCCTTGTATTATATATGGCACATAAAGAAGGATATCACTGAAAATGAAGGACAGCTGATCTTCTTAAATCTCCAGTAACTTTTTTTTTCATCTTTGAGTAGTCCCTCCAGCAATGTCATAAATTAGTGTTCTCATTTCTTGCTTGCATTAACTGAATTCGCCTATATATCTGGAAGTTAGAACATTAGAAATGGTGTCTCAAGTTCGCATCTTTGTTCAAACCACTGTGTGTATCTCCCGTCCATCAGAAGCTGAGCCACGCCCATATTTTATTGTGAATTATTTTGGGCTGACACTCGGCATGTGGGTGCCAAACTGGGGCCATTTGAAACGTCCAAGTCAGTATAGAGTTTTCGGACTGGCAATTATGATGGTTATCTTATGCCCCAAATACCTCTCACCCCCCCACCGGCCACCAGAGGGTAGGACAAAGAAAAAAAAAACATTTCCGTCTTTAGG